AAAATATATCGGAGTAGAAAGCACCAAGGCTTTAGTCTCCAAACCAGTATACAAAATATATATCACAGTTCAATATAGATTTCAACACAGAAACGTTAATATAAAATTCCTTAAGCTTGTCGTCGCTACTGTGTTAAAACAGAAATTAGAAAACTATTAGAAGAAACTGGAAAAACTGTAACGATAAGAAATATTCTGAGTCCACAATTTCCTTGTGCGTCCTTAAGGAATTTTAACCCCCTCACAAGTTGCCAAGGTAATGGATTAAATCCTCCCAGGATGAGACGGAATAAACCTTCCTGCAACAGTGGCAATACAAACTGCAGGATACCAACGAACTCAAAGAACGGAGCAAAATCACACTTACGAATTTAAAAGAGAAACTGCGAAGTAGAATGTTGGATTTTCAGAAGGAAGTTCTATATTTTCTCAGNAACCATCTTGAAATCCAAAAACCTTGCAGCCACGAACTTCTTAAGTCCGGCATCCTCAGTCTTCTACTTCTTCTCAAGCGCATTCCATAACGCTTTTGAAGTTTCCATGACACTATAGACATTGAACAAGCTATCTTCCAAACAACTCAAAATGTAGTTTTTGCACAAGAAATCAGAATGTTTCCATGCTTCAGTTACAACAAATCGTTGGTCATCCGGAGTGCCTTCAGCTACGACCGGAGGATCCTCCTTGATGAATCGCTGCAAACTCAACGTAGTAAGATAGAAAAGCATCTTCATTTGCCAACGTTTGAAGTCAATACCGGAAAACTTTCCGGGTTTTTCTGCTGCTGCCATAGCATGAGCAGGAGTTGAACAGCTCGACGAGGCAGCAACACTCGTAACAGTAGCACCCGTTCCATTAGCATTAGTTTGGTCCTCATTTGCCATTTTTTTGTAAAGTTGGCAACAAACAGAACTTTTCAAAATCAGTGAAGGTTTTATATCTTCAAACTGAATACCAAACCAAACATTCAAAACATAAACGGTGAAGTTTATTATATTCTTCAAACCGTATTCAAATTTAATACCCTGGTAAAGTTTTTATGTTCTTTAAGCCGGAGTAAAAAATATATCGGAGTAGAAAGCACCAAGGCTTTAGTCTCCAAACCAGTATACAAAATATATATCACAGTTCAATATAGATTTCAACACAGAAACGTTAATATAAAATTCCTTAAGCTTGTCGTCGCTACTGTGTTAAAACAGAAATTAGAAAACTATTAGAAGAAACTGGAAAAACTGTAACGATAAGAAATATTCTGAGTCCACAATTTCCTTGTGCGTCCTTAAGGAATTTTAACCCCCTCACAAGTTGCCAAGGTAATGGATTAAATCCTCCCAGGATGAGACGGAATAAACCTTCCTGCAACAGTGGCAATACAAACTGCAGGATACCAACGAACTCAAAGAACGGAGCAAAATCACACTTACGAATTTAAAAGAGAAACTGCGAAGTAGAATGTTGGATTTTCAGAAGGAAGTTCTATATTTTCTCAGTATGTGAAAAAGGAAGCCATGCCTCGGAATTTATAGGTAATTGTCGGAAGAGGGTGTGATGTCTTTTCATAATGTGAACAGAAGGGAAAGCAGCGTTCCACGTTTTGGATTATACATTCCAGTTACTTCCGTTAATGAACTGACTGACACTTAATTAATTCTTAAATAATTAATTAAATAAACTTTGTCCAAAAAATTAATCTCATCGAACGATCATTTGACAAATCCAATTTACATGCCACAAAGATGCACCACAGGCTTGCCCCTAGTGTAGTACTCGACTAATCGAGCCCCACTCAGTCTAAGATCAATAGGACTTTATTTGGTTGTAATGTAGGCTAAGGGACGGGTAGGATACATTTGGATATAGTGACTAACCTCCCTAAGCACTTTTAATACAATTACGTTGAATTTAAAAATCATCATTTTGTAAGCCAACACTCCACCACATTTATTTAAACATCCCCATACATTAGGTGCAATTTGTACAAGCTACCACTTATTAATCACTACAAAATATATGAACTTTTTTTTTCATGGTGCTTTTCTTTTTACGCTTCACATTCTGCACCTTTTCTCTATTTCCATGGTTCCACTTCAAAAATCATTTTCTTCTCTGAAATTTTTGTCCGGGTGATCTATGTCCCTAATTCTTCAATGTTTTTGGATTTTGGCTCCAAGAATAATTTCTTAACTAATATGTGTGTGCTAATGTATTTTTCATGCTTTGGTTGAACAAAGGGGAATACATTGCCTTGAGAATCGCCTATGCGGAGTGTTGGGCAATATTTTTTGGTATTTTATTTTCCCTATTATTGGAAGTATAATGCATACCATGCAACTCAGTGTTTTTGTTAGACTTCTCTTTGTTAGATTAGAAGGTAATAATTGGCAGCTTCGGCTGAATTAACGGGATTCTTAGTTTTGGAACTAAAATCAGAATTTTTTTTACTACATTTTTAAAACAGACTGCTCAAAACAATATTTTCTAGCATAAATTTGTGATAAGATAAGTCATGATGCTTAAGAAAGACTTTGCTTGTATGACTGTGTTTCATCGGTTCTGTAGGTGTTGTGTACTTATCTTGTTAGATCAAGCTGACGACTATATATTGGTATTGGTTAACATAGAGGGTTCTGGTTTTCTTAAGCATATTATTGAACATATCCAAGAAAGGTAGGTTATCCATTTCATTAAACTTAGAGATGTTTTCCAAGTTTCTTAAGAGATGCATACCTATGTACTTTGTGGTTTTCAGATTAGCATCTGATATGCTGTTTTGTTTTAGTTGTTTCTATTTCTAAGTCTTATTTGCACAACTGTCTTCAAGGGAAAACCCCTTTATACTGCCTTTCCGCTTTTGCTGGTCTCTAATTAAAATAGGAGATTATAAGTTATCATAAGTCTCTTCATTCTATAAATGGGCAGTAGTCGTTGATGGTTTAGTATTTTTTTTTGGGGTCGGTGTTACTGATGGTTTAGTATTATTGAACGAACAAAAGTATGAGCCAACTGCCAAGCGGTTTACTTGCTTGATGAGGGCTTCCTTCTTTCATTTTGAATGATGAAGCATGAACATGAACTGTTGCTCCTATTATTTCGTGGTTTTCTTTAAGAGATGGAGAAATCTTTGGGATTGTAAAGTACCTGTTGTAAGAGTTTTAAGGTCTTGATGGTTTAAGGTGAGATTGAGAATCCTTATTTCCCCTAATCGAAGCCTTCAGGCATCTTTGGAGTGAAAGCATTTTTGGGTCAAGTTCCTTGTGAGACACTAAGGTGCAATGTCGGACTACAATGGGTATAGTCAAATCTTTTGATATGTTTAACCTATTCTACTTTTGAAGCACCAGGAAACAAGGTGAATCATTTTTTGTTCAATCAATGATGAATATTTCGAGAAAATGACTTGTGATCATTTAAGAGTTTCCCAATTGTTTCTTCCCAGGAAGTGACTCAGCCATAGCCATAAAGCTGGTATATCCATCATACTAGAAGGATACTTTTAGATGCTAAAGTCATGTTGCTGTGCACTACACTCAACTACATTGGGGAATGAACAACTGTTTTTAAGTGAGAGGAAAATAGATGTTCAATAATCCATTTTGGTTTCCTTATATTTTAGACGGGATCAGCTTACCTACAAAAGTCCACTTGTCCTTTTATTTTTCCTTTTTGTTTTATTTTTGTACTTCTTATAAAGAAATCTTAACAACTACTATTCTTTTTTTTGCATTTTGAGGAAACAGTTCTTGCTTTAAACTTGCACTGGAAGTTATATACTAGGATCCTAGAATATTTTTGAAGCTGTGAAGTTTATGGTGCAGAATAAGATGTGGAATTTAGGCTTAATATCTGGATAAGTTATATTTGTAGCTAAACCGATTTTGCTGGAAAAACTTATTCCTTAGGTACAACAGACTTCTAGCAAGAAGTTGGTTCCTGAAATACCTATACCTGAGTATGTGGTGGTGGATACATATGAAAGAGATTATTCACGCACTTTTGCTCAGCCAACATCTTATATACACGCTAGAGGAGGTATGCGAAGAACATGGCTAGTATTTTTATTTTACTTCAAAGTTGATAATAATTTATGAAATTTTGTCAAATTAACTATAGCCCGGGCCGAGATTGGAGAATTTGTTGACTACAATCTTGACAATGAGGATGAAGATTGGCTTCAAGACATAAACAGAGAGAGAAAGGCTCTTGCAGCTGAAAAGTAAAAATCATACTGGATATCCTACATGTATATCGTGTTATGTTCACTGTCCATTTAATTGGTTTGGCAGTTTTTTTACCTCAAATAATGTGTTTTGAATGATTGTTGTCTGTTTCTCCTTGTAGTTGATCTTTCCATTTTTCTTTTTGAATGAACGCATATATTACACTGTTTAAGATTGTTTTGCCAATAGTATTTATTGGATTAATAGTTGCACTTCTGTTGAAATGGTGAATTCTGGTACTTGTAACTATTCATTCAATCAAAATAAGTTAGACCTGCTAAAACCTATCCATGGATTATGGATGTGGATATATTTTACCTTATCTATCCAAAACCAAAAAGAAAAAGATTATGGATATTTTCTGTGCATGATCCATTATAGGAAGTAACGTATCACTGTATCAGGCACTAATCACGCATATGACCATGACACCAGATCTTAGGCAACCTAGAAATCAATATTTAAGGAGGAAAGTAGGAGATAGAATGATGCCATTATATATCCATATAACGACTCTTTAAGCTATACATTAGCCAATTAAAGTGCTGCCTAGATAGTTGCTAATAAATCATGAAAGCACAATTTTAGGAAAAGCGACTCTTTTTCCGATCTTGCCATTGTTGCCTGAAGTGCTCCAGTGTGTATCAATAATGAAACCTGACTTTACTTTTTGATGCTTTAAATCACATTGGCATTCAAGCAATTCTTGTGGGATCTTTACCAGGCTCTGGAGGACAAAGCTTGTGAAGACAATCACAACACAGGGACATGTTATATGGCGTGGATGTTTAGAGCAAAAGCTCATGATTATTGTGATCTTCTTAGGTTACCTACCTTGAGCTTGTCTTGATCAATAGTCTTCTGCTCATTGTCTGGCAGTCCGTATCTATTTGCTATAAGTGGTCGATCCATTTTCTAACCTGATTTTTAACTACATGCGAGGTACTATTTCTGATATGTCGAAAGCTTGTTTGTCACTACCTCAGCTCTAACAGCATAGAATGCTTTCTTTCCTTAGTGTATCCTTACAATTTCTCCTAGAGTTCGCTAAGTAACAGACCAGGCTTTTTCTTTTTGAGCTTTCCTTTTTGTCCTTGTTGCTCTCCAACTCAGTTGGAGTACTATGCAGCATTCCCTCAAACTGCTCTCATTCCCCCTCTCAGTACTATATTATCTAATCGTTATTCTGTATTTTCTCCAATTTTTGCTTTCATCTATAGGAGTTTCACTAGTATTCATTATCTTTTTTTTTTCTACCAATCTTATAAACCTTATTCATGATTTGAATTTTGGATAGCTTATCCTGACATTATTTGTTGCTTGATATAGGCTGGAGACTATTCTGCACAAATTAGAGGTTTTAGATCACAAGGCCCGAGAAAGAGCAGGAGTGATTACTCCTACTCTTGGCTCGCCTATCCTGGTGCTCCTAAGTTTTGATGCTGCTGTTGAGGTGAAAATAGCTCTGCTTAATCTGTGTCTTTAGATGGTTTTACTTTGGCATTTTTGTTGCTTTGTTATCCTAAGAATCTCCTTTAGAGTAGTTGATACTGTTGGTTCTGGAATTAAGTTCATCCTTTTGTTGTTAGTGTGGGCTTTATAGAGAACCTGTGTTCATTATTTTAGTTACCTCTTATGCTACCTGCAAGAATGCAACAAACTTCTTAGTGGCAATGTGTCACTTGATTGGATGAAGAACCAAAACCGTTCCCTTCTTTTTGTAGACCTGCTTTTGTTTCTTGACTAAGTGATCTGATGAACTAAGTGATCTTAAGGGGTGCATGGGGGTATTTTCAAGAGTCATCATGGGTAATAGTTTTCTAGTGCCAACTATGTCTCTTTTGGTTGTTTGGTTCATTGATTTCATGCTCGTTTATCTTCTCTTGAAAAAGAAGCGTTCACATAAAGCTATTGAATTATGGATGCAATTATATTACAGGGTTGGAGGGAATCGCCCATGTTGTGGTATCCAAATGGCATAACTGTTTTCCTCTACGGAATTAGAACTACCAACATCCAATGATAATTTGTGTGTAACTTCTGGTCTTTGACATTGAAGAAGGATTATATTGAGACCAAAGAGTTTGATTTCTTATACATGATAGATTTCTCATACTTAATTTTTTTTTTTGGTAAGTAAGAGATAGGTATCATATAAGTTTCAATTTGACAGCATGAAGATTTACTGTTTAGAGAGAAACAACTTCTAGATTTCTCAGTTAAGGACCTGAAGAGGTATCAGTTTAATGGGAATTGTGTTGAACTCGCAGCTGACAGTGTCAAGTAAATTAGTAAAGAAAGTCTGAAATCATTTTGATCTTGGCCTTCTTTGGCACGTTTTACTGTCAAGTTGAAAATTGCCATGTTCCAGTATGCATTTTGTCAGGTCAATGGAAGGGACAACATCTTTTGTAGGAGATGTCTGAAAATTACTGTTTCACTGGGAAGCATTAGTTTGCAACTTATGTCAATATATTGAATATGTGCATTCTTCAAGTATGGAGGCAACCTTATGTGGGGAAGCATTTTTGTTTCTTCAGTTCCAAACACGTAACATGTACAAGAGCTTTCTGCTTCTTGTGTGATCCTAGTTCTGGATGACATGACTGATTTTGCTTCTCTGAGTGTGTTGCAATTCGTTGGTCTTACTTATTTTCCGAAGAGTTGGCGTGCGTTGAGTCTAATTGATCGTCTTTCTTCTTTCTTTCTTTCTTTTTCCTGAAATCTAGGCACTGCAATCTCTAACAATCAAATATGGAGTTTTCCAATCAGTTTATACTTACTGGAAAGACAAGGTACGCATCCCTCACCAATTTATTATGTTTGATTTAATGACACCATTTTATGTAGTGTAATTTGATGACGACAAAGTAGATGTGATTCCAGTTGGAGAGATCATCAAAGTTGGTATTGAAACAGATACTTGTATGCATACAAGAAACATCTACGAAGTTCCTCTCCACTTATTCTTATATTAGCATGATCATTTGTGGCCATTGTAATCAGTAAGTCTACAGATGAATCTGTCCTGTTAAACTTCAGATCATGTTTTATTATCAGCAGCTGTATGCAATAGGTTCTAGTGTAATCCTCTATCAACAAAAATTTAAGTTTGGATCATTTGGGATGGCTGAAATTATGTATCTTAAATAGTTGTGGATGGATATGATAGAAAAGACCCAATTTACTGGACATATAGAGTTCTAACAAGTTGTGTTGTTCAAACATCTATAAATCTTTTTTCTGTGTGGTTATATGACTTAACGCTTATAATTTTCTTTATATTTTTTAACTTCCTATTCAATTCTAAATATGGTGGACTTTATATGCACAATAAGAGCTCTTTTATTGATACGTTTCTTGATATCTCAATGATTATTCAGTTAGTTACCGAAATGCAAAGGGCTTCAAATACTTGATCAATGGGTGTTATCATATATTTTTTTTTTATCAGCATTGGTGGAATCTTAGTAAATTGGTATATTATATATATTAAAGATGAATTCTCACACATCTTTTTTTTATTGGGAATTTGCATTTCTTGTCTATCAGCGGGAACGGTGGCAGAAGCCTATTCTTCGGCGTTTGCAGGTCAAGTTTTAATTTCTGTATTTGTAGTCCAAATATAAGTAATTGCATTGGTGTTACGCGCAGTACATATATGGTTCGTCAAGCAATTGTCTTTGCCTTCCATAATCTCATCAGTTTGTTCTGTAGAAAAAATGCAGGGATAAGGTTCTCCTCCCCGAAATTTCTCTGATGGTTTTATCATTTGAATTTTAATCTTCGGACTGACTCATCAGGAAAAAAAGAGAGATATCCTGATATATTAGCCTTTTAAAGTCAAAGATTCCATTTTTGAATTTATGTTGATAAATGACCGCCACCCTTTCTACTGATGGTTTTTAAATATCTCTTCAGCCTTATATAGTATTGTGATTCGGTGGTCATATAATGATAATGAGACTTCTTGGGTCATGTCTTAGGTTGGTAAATCTGGTGACATAAGATTATGGGCTTATTTCTTCATATACAATCCAGCAAATTGCTCACTGTGCTCGTTGTTCATTTTTCATTGTGATCTCCTGTTTTTCCCATTTCAACTGAAAGTATTGTTCAAATGATTGCTGACATATTCTCAATCAATCACACGTTTTTGCATCTGTTTCCCCATTTGATCAATATTTTCGTGTAACAAATCTCACATGAAATATTGCTGCATCCTCACTCCTAATTGCACCAACTTTCTTTAACATGTGATTGGTTATATCATTCCTAATGAAAAGATTTCACATTCCTTTTCTTTATTTCGTTTTGGTGGATTTTCATATATGCACCTTCGTCAGAGAATAATGGTATTTAAAGTTGGTGTTCCATTTTGTGACTCCATCAGTTACAAGTGATTACATTCTGACTGCCTTTTCAACCTTCATTCGTGCAGCCTCCTCCACCTGTTAGTGATACCAATCCATATAATGTATTTAGGCCAAGGGAGAAGGCTCACAGGCTTCACACAAGGAGGGTATGTGACTCTGGTTACTTTAACCTAATCTTCTTGTTAAAATTATCGCCCTTGATGATTTGTTATGATGTATTTTATTTTCTTCCCTTTTTCTGTCATAGATGCAAAGGAGGGAAAACAATGTGCAGTCATTTGAAAAGCTTCGCCAGGTGAGCGTGGAGTTACAGATGGAGTTCTTAATTCGTTTCTTCTGTGTTCTGACAACTAGAAACAAAAAACAAACAATTGCCAAACAGGGCTTTCATTTGTGGTTGTTTTATCGTGTCCTTGCCCCTTATTGGCCCAGGCCACTCTGTTATGACGATCTTGCTCAGCATCTTTCTTAGTCTGCTGGCAACCCGTATTATAAACATTTTGCACAACCAGCTGACCTTTCTTTTATCACCCTCATTTCCTTCATTCTACACTTTTAGTAGTTGTAGACAATAAATTTGCGTTGAGAAAATAAAATCAAGACCAAAGGTATCGCAACAATTGTAGTATTTGATTTCGAATATTTGAGTGTACAATCTCTATGAATCCTCTGATTCTTCCTTCCAATAGTAAATAAATTCAAGGGCCTTTGAGCTTGATCTTGAATCTATATTTGTTTCCACGAACGATGATCTTGTTCTTGAGCTTGAGCTTGAGCTTGACTGCTTGAACTTGATCTTGATTCGTTCTTCGTTCTTGAGCTTGAACTTGAACTTGATTGCTTGAAGCTTGAAACTTGTAGAGAAATTTGCGGCGTTTGATCCACGAGCTCTTTTTTTTTTCTTGTTATAACTTCTGATCCCTTTTCTGGGTTATGAAGACCCCTATTTATAGTTGTGGGAGGGAAGAGTTGTGATAAGAACAAACTCTTTCCGACCAATCAAATTGAAGTGTGACATGGCCGCATTTGATTGGCCAGAACATGTCACTTGCACACGTCGTGCAATTTCATTGGCCTTTCAGTGTGACTGGGCATGCCTTGTCATTTTGACACGTGGCATGATCCTATTGGCTCTTCCGCTTGACTTGGTCCGTCACGTCATTTGACACGTGGCACCAAACTGGGTCTCTAGAAAGATGACATCTTGGGCTTAATGAAGTGGGCTCATCACTTTAACCCAATTTAAATGGGCTAACCCAATGGATTAAATAAATAGCCCAATGGATTAAGACTTATTTATTTAATCCATATTTATTGAACTTATATAATTAGGTCAATTATATTAGCCCATAATATTTATTTGGACCAATATATCTTGAATTTAAAATATAATCCAAATTACTTATTGAATTTAAATTCAATAAATTTTGTATGCCTACAAATGCCCCCCTCAGTGGGACATTCAATAAATCAAACGGTTCCTAATTTCGACCAAACAATAGTTTGATTCACAAATGACGATCTTTTGCTAGGTGACACTCCTCATAACCGCCCATTGTACCTGGTTGGCTATATGCGCGATGAAAAGGTAAATCGAATTTTGGTTGATGGAGGATCCTCAGTGAACATTTTGCCAATCCACACTGTGAAAGAACTTGGTATTCCCATGAACGAACTCTCAGAAAGTCGTGTGATGATCCAAGGATTCAACCAAGGGGGGCAAAGAGCCATAGGCGCGATCAGGCTGGAAATCACCATTGAAAATATGCAATCAAGTGCATGGCTACATGTGATCGATGCAAAGACTTCATACAACATCTTGCTTGGAAGGACTTGGATACATGAGAACAAAGTGGTTCCATCTACCTACCATCAATGTTTGAAATATTATGAGGGTGAAGTCGAGAAGAAGATAGTTGCTGATGATGAGTCATTCACCGAAGCTGAGTCACACTTCGCCGATGCAAAGTTCTACTTGAAGAACCGCATTGTGAAGGAGCTAAAATTTGATGGTGGCATGAAAAGCAAGAATGACGAGCCCATAACTAAAAGAGCTGAGGTGACTATTGGTAAAGCCAAAGCTGTTACTGAGGAGGTACACGCCAATGTGAATAAATCTCATAAAGAGGGGTATTGCGTCTTATGGAAAGAAAGTAAGTCTCGCGCTCCAATATGTCCCTAAAAGGAAGAAAGACGAGGGCGAATCATATAATCTCCAAACCAAGACGCTACGGGAGTTAACTCTTCCGGTAAAACGAATTGAGGCAGTAAAGTTGTCCTCAACGCCGCTTGCAGGATTTGTAGCCCAAAATCGTTTGCAGAATATGGCACTCCCTACAAAGCAAATAGATGAAGGTTTTGATCCTAACGCTTACAAGCTATTTGAAAAAGCTGGATACAATCCCAATGAGTCATCAAAGTTAGGGAAGCTCCCATCAGAAGCTGCAACGAGGAAACCACGTGAAGGTCTGGGATACAAGCAACCGTCACCAGTGCGCATCTCAATAAGAAGGGCGAGTAGCAATTATATCAGTGTAGAAGACGAATCTGCCGCTTCTAACAAGCCTTCTGTCTTTGATCGGCTTGGAAAATCAACTGTGAGAACTTCCATATTTGAGAGATTGGGTCCATTAAAGAAGGGGAATAAGTTCCAGAGAAATTATTGAAATACAAGAATACCCGTTTCACCCAAAATTCACAAGATCTCTAAAGATTTCCAAAGTTTGGTTCCTTCTAGAATGAAGCGACAAACAAAAGTCATGGTTTCGTGTGATGAAGTATTGAAGGTGAAGCCATACACTGTGGTCTACACTAAAGAACGTAATGAAGACGAAGAAAGTGTGGGTTCTTCGTATCATGTTACTACACAAGGCGAGCATGGTGTTTTATCTCTAATGAAGGATGACGAGAAAGTGGACGATGTTTCACCATGTTATCACATATCTTTCAACGATGGGGACCCTCAAGAAGATGAAGACGCAAATGATGCTCCTCCAGAACTTGAAGAAGGGGTGAAGGCAACGATTGATGCCTTAAAAGAAGTTAACCTTGGCACTGATGAAGAACCAAGACCCACCTACCTAAGTGCTTTACTAGAAGTTGATGAAGAAAGCACTTATATTGAGTTACTCAAGGAGTTCAGGGACGTCTTCGCTTGGAGTTACAAAGAGATGCCTAGCTTGGACCCGAAAGTAGCAGTCCATCACCTTGCAGTCAAAAATTGTGCTCGCCCTGTTAAACAAGCTCAAAGACGTTTTAGGCCAGACTTGATTCCCTTGATTGAACTGAAGTTACCAAACTCATCGAAGCTGGCTTTATTCACGAAGTTAAATACCCAACATGGGTTTCAAGTATTGTCCCTGTAAGGAAGAAGAATTGCCAGATTCGAGTATGCGTTGACTTTAGAGATCTCAACAATGCATGTCCGAAAGATGAATTTCCGCTTCCTATTCCAGAGCTGATGATCGATGCTACTACTGGTTACGAGGCAATGTTTTTCATGGACGGTTCGTCGGGCTATAACCAAATACGCATGGCACCAAAAGATGAAGAGCTTACTGCATTCCGTACCCAAAANCAAACGAGTTGAATTATTCGCCAATTGAGAAGTTGTGTTTGGCGCTAGTCTTCTCAATTCAAAAATTGAAGCACTACTTTCAAGCTCATGTTGTCCGTCTTGTTTCTAAAGCAAATCCGATCAAGTTCGTGATGTCAAAACCTGTCCTTAGTGATCGACTAGCGAGATAGTACCTCCAATTTCAACAATTTGAGATTTTGTACATCCCTCAAAAGGCTGTAAAAGGACAAGCATTGGCAGACTTCTTGGCAGATCATCCGATACCTGATGGATGGGAGCTAATTGATGAACTACCTAATGAGGACGCAATGGTCGTTGAAGTTCAACCTCCATGGAAGAAGTACTTTGATGGTGCTGCGCATCGTGGGGGAGCTGGGGCTGGCGTAGTATTTGTCACTCCCCAAGGTAAAGTCTTGCCCAACTCCTTCACCTTGACACAACTCTGTTCCAATAATGTTGCTGAGTATCAAACATTAATACTTGGGCTTGAAATGGCTGTTGATATGAAGCAATTGCAATTGCAAGTCTTTGGTGACTCTCAGTTAGTGGTCAATCAGCTTTTAGGTAGTTACGAGGTCAAGAAGCCTAAACTACGCCCATATCATGATTACGCTAAAAAGTTAATGGGATGGCTCGGTGATATGACTATTCAGCATGTGCAAAGGAAAGAAAATAAGAAGGCGGATGCTTTAGCTGCCCTAGCTTCATCTTTAACCCTGCCTGATCAAGTGCAAGTTACTGTCTGCCAAAAATGGGTAGTACCGCTGCCAAATGAGGCTGAAGGTGAAGAAAATGAACTCAAGCATCTTGTTGATGTTTCTGAAGTCGAGAAAGAAGAATGGAGACAATCCATTATCGACTACTTGTGCTGTGGGATACTTTCAGAAAATCCGCAGAGAAAAACTGAAATCCGTCGTCGTGCACCTCGCTTCCTTTACTACAAAGATACCCTATACAGAAGATCAGTCGAGGGAGTACTCTTGCGATGCTAGGGGAAGATGAAGCACTCCAAGCTTTGAAAGAAACGCATTCTGGGGTATGTGGGTCACACCAGTCTGGACCAAAGCTCCACTTCCATATAAAAAGAATGGGATACTATTGGCCAACGATGGTAAAAGATTGCTTGGACTATGCTTGAAGACGCAAGGCTTGTCAATTCCATGCGAATTTTATTCATCAACCTCCTGAAGTGTTGCACCCGACTGTTGCATCCTGGCCGTTTGACGCTTGGGGATTGGATGTTGTTGGATCACTACCAAAGTCCTCTGGTGGGCACCTATACATTCTGGCTGCAACCGATTACTTCTCAAAATGGGCTGAAGCTGTTACTCTCAAGGAGGTAAAGAAGGAAAATATTGTAAATTTCATCTGAGTAAACATTATTTATCGCTTTGGCATTCCTCGCTGCATAATAACGGATAATGGAAAGCCATTCGATAATAGGTTGATGAACAAGATTTATGATCTCTTCGGCTTCAAGCAACGTAACTTTTCGATGTACAATGCTGCCGCCAATGGTCTAGCTGAGGCATTCAACAAAACTCTATGCAACTTGCTAAAGAAAGTCGTCTCCAAATCCAAATGAGATTGGAATGACCGTATGGAAGAAAATCTATGGGCATATAGGACGACTCACCGCACGCCAACACAAGCGACTCCTTATTCATNATAATTACTTCCCATAAACCTGTAGGGAAGTTCACTTCAAAATGGGATGGGCCATATGTCGTACTCAAGTGGGGCTTACAAGCTGGTTGAAGCCGATGGCATGAGAATCGGCCCTATCAATAGCAAGTTTTTGAAGAAGTATTATCCTTGAAGTTACAACGCTCCTTGACACATGAGCCTAAACTGCATGTTACTAAACTCCTGGCCCACATGAGTCTAAACTGTGTACGACCCCCTATAAAAAAAAAAGTTC